AAAGACCAACACACACACACACACACACACACACACACACACACACACGGAATAGATATATTTTTTTAAAAAAACTGTCTCTCCCCTAAAGATTTTTTGAGCCAGCATATTTAGCAGGCTGTTATGATAAATGCTCAGAGATCATTTCAACCCAATGCGGATTTAATATGCTGCATGCTCTGCCCTTTATAGCCAAGGCATGAATAAAAATCTCAGCATTTGGGGGCTGGTGGGAGGAAATTAACCTTGTCTCTGTGATTAAGAGGTGCCATCTTGATCTTCTGTTTTCAATAATATGCAAAGTGTTCAAACATAATGACGGGGAGGGAAGACAAATCAAGATTATAATTTGGTTTCTCTCCCGCACATATATACACAATTCATGCCATACATTCAATATTATACATTGTAAAGAGTTTCCTTTTTAATTCTAAATTGACCTTTTGTACATTCTAGAAATTATATGGTGGCACATTTTAGCCATGCACATCCTCGAATGCTGGATTTTTTTTCTCTTTTTCCCTATTTATTTTATTTAGAATAACATCAGCAGCCTTAAATACTCAAAGAGCTACTTCCTAACCAGAAGTCCCTTGTTCAATTCTGAAGCCAACCGGAAGTCCAGTTCCCCCATCATAGAGTCTCCTCCTAGCGTGGTGTCCTTTTTCCTCTACCTGTCGTAACTGAAAGCTCTATCAGTTGTGCAGCCGACTGGCGGCAGGGAGCCACAGAAGAGGGATGAAAGAGCCACATGCAGCTCCAGAGCCACAGGTTGCTGACCCCTGATCTAGCCTGAAGCTTTGGATATTGCTCTGTGTAATTTTAATTGGTCTTCAAAAAACATAATTTTTGAGGTTTTTTAAGATTCAGCAAAATGCTGAGAAAAGTCAGGCTGCTCTGTCAAGTAGTGGAGAGATGCAGCATTTGCATAAAGTGAAACGTTCTTCCAGATCGTTTTCAAAGGATTCTATATTAAATAAAAATATTATCATGTCAACGTCGAGCGGTTTGCTTTGTTCCAATGGACCAATGTAGCTGCAAATATGTTTTAAATTAACTAACTAAAAGCTTCTCCTATTCCTAATTTTCCTCATTGCAAAATCATGAAATATCTGTCATGATTTTTAGATCCTAAGCCTGGACTGTTGGAAAAATTATGAAAGGTGATAGAGCAATTCTCCTTTGTGTACATTTTTTTGGAATCTGGAAATGCTAATAATGCCAACATTATCAGTTTGTCATCCAATATGGTGACACTGAAATAGTGTGATATATATTTGCTAGTTTTGTTCATCTTTCGTTTCCACAGCATCTTTTTCCCCCCATCTCTTCATTAAATTGAATACAGAGCCATTTGGAACCTTTGAATTTTGTCTTCAGCCACCAGAGAACTGCAAAAGCTACTCCTAAGTTATTTTTTATTTTACTTGGGGATTGCATTGTGTTTTATTTTATTGATTGGAAAATAATCCTAATGGCTATATTTTAATTTTATTTATGCTTGGCTGCAAATGAAACGAAACCACGTTCCATTTTTGCCTTGAGCCCCTTTTCGAAGTGTGGCCCTGATGCATCATTTAAAAGCCAAATTAGAATTCAGACGGTTCCAAACACACCTGGTATGTTTCACGAAAGAATCTCTTTTGTTTAGCCCTTGTGTTTGGGATTAAGGAGTGAAGCAAAAAACCTTCATGCAAACATTAGATCACGGGAGGGATTTGAAAAGACAGACGTGGCATTAGGTGTTCTATAATCAGAACTGTTTCTGTAACGCTGTGTGGACTTCAACTCCCGCAATTTCCTAGCCAGCATGCTTAAACACAGCTTAAAGTTGCTGAGGTTGGGAAATATTCTTCTAGAAAAGATTTATCAGCATGGAGACCAGAAAGAGAGACTGATAAAGAAAATTTAGTGGCTGTCAGGTGATTATGAGTAGCAAGTGGCCATCAGCAGAAATTTCATTTATTTGCCATCTGAAATTTCTGAGGAGTGGGCTGTGGAATTGTCAGGAAAGGGAGAAAGCAACATCTCCTTTCTTTAATACTGTGTATGTCAGGGCTGTCAAACTCGTCGGGATGCATCACGCACTGGCCACACCCACACTCAGTTTAGCGAAGGGGGGAAAAGTCCCAATATGTCACATGATGCCGCCGTAAGTTTGACAACCCTGGTATGTGTGACTGGACTATCTATGATTACTGGACACCAACACATAGATGTCTGCATTAGGAAAGCCCGATTATGAGGATCTACTTATAAATTGCATTTTCAGATGAGTGAGGGCAATACTAAAGTTGACCTAGAGCAGGGATGTCAAACTTGTGGGTTGTGAGCCAGATGTGTCATGCACTGGCCATGCCCATCCCCGTTTTAGTGAAGGGGGGGAGTCACAATACATCACGTGATGACCAATGTTCCCTCTAAGCTGCGCGCCTGCGCGGTCACGCACATAACAAGAAAACACCGCACAGAAGTTTCAAACTGCAGCGCAGTGTTTCTTTAAATGTGACTGAAAATATCCCTCCCTCCCTCTCTTCTCTCTCTGCAATGAACTTTCTCCTCCATCTGGTGATTGGTGGAATCAAGGAAGACTCTGCCCAGAGACCGATGACGCTGCAGAAAGGAGAATTCCCATTGGTTACTTTTCCACACACACTGAAAAAAAATTAGGGGGAACATTGGTGATGACATCACAAGTTTGACACCCCTAACCTAGAGTATCATTGAGTTCATAGTTGAAGGCATAAGGAAATAGTTGAAGGAAACATAAGGGCAATGAATTCAAAGAGTTGAAGGCATGCGGAGAGTGTACAATCACAACACTTGATGGAAACACCAAGAGAAAAACAATACTATAGAGTAGTTGAAGATGAGAGTATTCCTGTCTGCTGGAATGAGATGCAAATCAGTAAGATTACCTCCAATATCTTATGTACATATGATGAATTATGAGTGAGTGATGAATTATGGTGAATTAATTCACAGTGAGGAAGAGAGATATAGAAATAAATTCTAATTCTAGTTGCAGAATTATGACAAATTATGAAATGGCTAAAATATGGCATGGAAATGACTCACGCGAAGAAGGATACAATTATCCTGGCATCCAGCTTCGCTTGCTGTTGACTTTTCCTTTTTCTGGAGTGGAAGCTGTTATACGTAAAGACTTATTTTTGTGTATATAAGACACTGTATATGTGTAGACAATCTTAATTCTCCTACTAGATTTATCCATACTTAATTTAAAGTTTGTTTATAACTCCAAATGTTTTTTGTGCATTAAGAGAGAAGTGTTCATCTATACCATGAATTAGTAGGAGAGAATTCAGGAAATCTTCGCAATATAGCTTTGGGATGGGATAAATATTCAGTTGGTCTTTGGGGTTTTAATATAGTGTAGATTTCCTGTACTTGTAACTAGGGATGAAATCTACTTACCTTCACTACTGGTTTGCAAACGTTTGCGCCACCTCCGCGCATGCACAGGATCTTCCACGCATGCGCAGAGNAACAGAATGGTTTGTTCTGGAATCAATCCTACTTCCAACTGTTTCATGTATTGGGGAGGGAGGTTGTTAATAATTTCTGAAGCAGTTTTGTCTTTTACTGTCAGTTTCAGATGAAAAAATCTATGATGCATATGTGTTATATCCAAAAATCAGCAACCAAGCTGACTTTGTACTGAAAGTACTGCCTGAAGTTCTGGAAAAACAGTGTGGATACAGTCTCTTTATACCTGGAAGGGATGATTTGCCAGGAAAAGGTAAATGTAACCAGTCTGATGTTGCTTATTTACTATTTGTTTTACTTATATATTGAATTTTGAGACTTCCCATCTCACTCAGAGCATCTATACAGATTCACAAGTGGTCTTTCCACACAATCTGGTACAATAGACATAATTATTTATGCAGTCCAGAATCTTAAAGTCCTCTTCAATTCATGCAGCATTTTATATCATATGAAAACAAAGGCAGAGTTTTTTTTAAAAAAAATGGGGTTAATGAGGAGAATGATTAAAGAAGGAAGACTTCTGCTACTAAAAATGGAAATATTTTTAGAAAAGAAAATAACAATAACAATAATATGCCCTGTCTTGATCTCCTTTTATATCTGCAGAATTATCATTTAAATCATTTTAATTTCTCAAATCAGTGCTCTGTTGAAAGCAATATGAGGAATTTAAAAAGCTGCTCATTATGATTGCGCCCAAGGAAATCTGCAGCTGGGATCAAGGATATAAATGGGCCAAATATGCATGTATATAAACAATGCAGGATTGCATAGTTGTATAGTGCAGCCCATTTTGAATGCCAGTTAAGTGCAGGGCCTGCATGGAGGCTCGAGGAGGGTAACAAATTGGCCTCCTGGAAGTTCCAGAAGTCCGGAAATGGGCCCATTTCCAGCCTCCAGAAGGCGGAAAAATTGCCATGTTTTCAGGCCGTTTTTTGGGGCCGTTTTTTGATCTGAAAAACAGTATCCGGCTTCTCTTCCTCTTGCAGCCAGCTTTCCCAGTCTAGCTGCACACATGCACATGTGCACACACACACACAGGTTGGATCCTTCCTTCTTCATGCCCCTCCCCCCACCAGAGACCCCTGTATTCCCTCCCCAATCATGCCTATCCCATACAGGTATCACCCATACAAGTGGCATAGAGTTGGCCATGCCAACTCTGTCACGTGACCCACTCAGCCACGCTGAGAACTGGTTGTTAAAAAATTTGGAACCCACCACTGACCCATACCTATGTTATGGTGCCTTCTGTTGAATTACATGACAAGGAGTGTGAGATGCATTCATTTTTACAGCGCCTATTTTGGCCTTTATGTAGTAACACTTTAAAAGCATTCAGTGATTAATTTCTTGTTCTATTGTTTCAAGAAGTCTATATTTCAAGGCTTGTTAAAAGTATTATTTTCTTGTATATAGAAATAGTCTTGATTCTGGCATTGTTTTTGGCCCGTTATTGTGTCATCCATGTGTATCTAAAACAATATAAGTTTGTGGATATTAACATTTGGTGCAATCTTTATCTGTGGTGATTTATAGCGATAGTCAACGTTGTTGATGACACCATTACGCAAAGCAGGAGGCTGATTATGATTCTAGTAGCTGGGTTGTCCAGCTCAGAAGAGGCTCCTGAGCAGAATATAGCAATGTATCATGCTCTTATACCTGATGGAATGAAAACTATCCTGATCGAAATGGGTAAGATAAAGGATTACAGCAACATGCCAGAGTCCATTAGATACATCAAGCAAAAACAAGGAGCTATCAGATGGAACGGGGACATCACGAAGAAAGGCTCTTGTTCGGCAAATGGTTCCTTTTGGAAAAAGATCAGATACCGAATGCCACCAGAACGTCAAGGGTCCCAAGGACTAGCTTTGATGCCAATCACCCAGATGATAAAAGAATAGTCTTGAGGTCATTTCAGAATCCCTCTGGAGGGACGTTTACATTGAAGCTGATGCAACATGTCCTATATTATGGAGATGGACTCCTAAATGTATATGTAATGTTGGAACTGATTTTCTTTTTTATTCATGAAATTAAAGTATGTACAGCATTTTCATTTTTTTAAAAAAATGATATGTGTACAGGGATTATTTGATAAGGAATTTTTGCTTATAAAAATGGTGCAAATACCCATGACTTACTGACTAATTTTATACCATCCTTTTAGTTTCAGATACCAATCCTGCCTCAATGTATGTTTCCAGGTTCTGTGCAGCAGCACTCAAAATTCATCTGATGATGACCTGTGCTATAAACCAGATTTCCTGAGCACTAATTTACCATGTTATTAAAGCGCTTTGTTACTTGGTAGATCTAGTTTTCTACATATTAACCTTTTATGCTCTCCTGTAATGCTCCTACCCCTTCTTTTAGGCACTCATTTATATTTTCACTTTGTAGTATATTGCTTATATTTTCTAGATTTTTCTTATAAGTGTGTTTAGCTTTTTATTTTTGATATATCCTTTAAGCTTCTTAAATGACCCTCAGTGTCTCAAATATTTCATTTTGACTTGCTCAATTTTTTAAATACAATTTTTGGAAGATTCTCATTTTCAAGAGAGAACATTTGCATGTGCACACATACAGATTCCTGAGGAATAAGCCCAACGAATCTCAGACATGGTTGTAGAACTCAATTGAGCCAGAAAACTGGTTTCTGAGATGCCTTGGGTTAATTCCTTGTGGGAGGTTGCATTTCTGCTGGCGTCCTATTTTTGAACCTCTGCTCACCTTAGTAAGAAATAAGTGATGCGTTAGATAAGCCCTTGAATAGGGTCCACTCTTATTTTTACAGACTGTTTTTTGTAGCTATACTAACGTAACAGGCTAGGAGGCCTGAAACCTTTTGAATGCCCTGTCATTAATATTCCCTTTTGTTAAGCATTAGAAATAGGTCTTACACCATGTGTGACAATGCAAAGTATTTCTCTTCAAACCTACAGATGAGTCTTTTCGCAAGGTTCACCCTGCTGCTTTGGAAGATTTTTCCAGCTGCCGCTCCTAAGCTTCATGAAGAGACAAAGATAGATAACATCCAGGAGCAACTTCTGAGAACAGTTACACAAGCTGGAAACAGGCATTATTCATTTGAAGACTGTTGCTTTTCTTACACTCCTGTGCTACATAAAACACCCCTTTGGGCTGCCTTGCACAGCTGTAATCACTGTCTGATGTGCAAGATGACTGGGTTATTTTGGGCTTATCCTCAACAGCTGCAAAATGCCACATTGTTTGGAAGAGGTCATTTTTTTAAAATTTCTTCTTATATAACATATAAACAGTTGACCATAAGCACAGTTGACCTTTATAAGCACTTAGTGTACTTATTTTATATACATTTATTTTTTTTAATACAACTGAGAGTCTGTTTTTAGCAGTATATTTACAACACACTCTTTTTTACTTGTAAATATATTCTAGTGTATGTACATTATTTTTATGATGTGAACTGTCCAGAATTGATTAAAACCATGTGGCTGCCAAAGTAGAATTAATTAAATAAATAAATACTGTTTCTCCTTCTAGTCACAAATGTGTTTATGTGCTTACTATAGATTGACACAAATGTGCTTATATTAGCTATATTGCAATCTAATTAATTTGATATTAATATATCCTCAAAAATGTTTTTTTTTCAAATAGCAGTAGCACTTACATACCGCTTTATAGTGCTTTACAGCCTAAGCGGTTTACAGAGCCAGCATATTGCCCAGCAATCTGGGTCCTCATTTTACCGACCTCGGCAGGATGGAAGGCCGAGTCAACTTTGAGCCTGGTGAGATTTGATCTGCCAAATTGCTGGCAGCCGGTGATCAGCAGAAGTAGCCTGCAGTACTGCACTCTAACCACTGTGCCACTGCGACTCAAATAAAAATAACAGTAGTGAATTTTTAAAAATTATTTTATTTTAGTGATAGTTAGGATGTAATATGATTTACATTTGCCAATATATTGGAGTGTAAGAAATTATTAGCAAGAATAAAATAATTACATGTATGATGGAAGTAATATTTAAAAATTGTTATTGTTTAAGCTAAAGATGGTTGCAAAAGATTAAAAAGGCTTGATACCCCAGCAAACAAAATTATAACGAAGTATTGCTTAATTGACTACAATATTTATGAAAAGATTCCACAAGTCTGTTTATTATATTCAACAATGTACGTAATACATTGCTGAATGAGTATATAAGAAATATCTAATGATGCAAACTATTCATAATTATGGGTGGGGTGTCAGAAAGGCAGCTCTGTATTGCACAAGTATTATAGAACTGTCTTTTTTTAATTGCTCAACATTGGATTTCTGTTCTTTGTTCAAGGCAAATGAATCCTTGTCTCCATGCCACTTATTTAACCAAACACAATTTTTAAAGAAGGGCTGTGCATTTTTTACAAATATCATTGAAGGTTTTTGCTAGAGGCACTGAAATATTGATCTCATACGCTGGAGATTGAGACAAAATAATAAATAGTAACATGTTGGTTAAGCAATTTTTCCTGGGAAATGGTATATAAGGATGATGAGGTATCTGAGTTTGCTCCTATTCTTTTGGCAGTAGCTTGCTTAAATGCAATTAACCCTTAAGGTGTAACTGCAAAGGTTCACTTCTCTCTTACCTTGAAACCAAAAATTAGCCAGGCAGGTCTTGTTTGTCATTGCTTAAAAAAGTGTTACTGGCATCCTTTTATTATAAGCACTATCCTCTTGACAAACTTAATGCATAGCCTCTAAATATATGAGGGAGTATGGCCAATAGATTAGAATAAGAGCAACCTATATACAGGTGTCTCCTTTAGATTTGCATATCTTAAGCAAATTTGGGCTTTTAATTAGAATGTTGTGCCCAATAGGCTAGGCTTAAAGGTCTACATCCCGGTCTATTTCTCTAGGTGGAGATGGATGTATTGGTCCAACTTTCAATATTAAAAGTATTGTTATTTACATGAAAAAGTATCTTCTAATCCAAGATAACAAAACAACTTTTTTTCAGGCATTCAGACTGATAACTTGTAGATGGTGCTCCTCCCAGTGGTGGAAAGTGGTGCAGAATTTACACACGTCCACAGAAGACCTTTCAGTTTCATATTTAATCTGGTTTTCTGTTCACTCTTTTGGAAGAAATCAAGACTTGATGTAATTTGTATTGAATTGCTGGTCATAAGTTAAAATTTTCTCAGCATGGAGGTTACCTTTCTCAGTAGGACTGCATAAAACATATCATTAGAGAAAAGAACATATAAATCTCTCGGGTCCTGTTTAATGCCTACATGAAGCCTCTGAATGAGATCATCTGTGACCATGGGTTGAAATATCATCAGTATGCTGATAATGCTACAGCTCCATGTCTCCATGCTTGATGACCTGAGCGATGCTGTTACTACCCTCTCACAGTGCTTGGAAGCTGTAGGGCTTGGATGGGGGACAATAGGCTTTTATTGAACCCTGGCAAGACTGGGTGCATGGAGCCTCAAGATCCAGGTTTTTGTCATCTTTAGTTCTCAATGGGGTTGCATTACCCCATTCAGATCCACTTCACAACTTGGGGGTTCTCCTGGACTCATGATTCCTGCTGAAACAGTAGGCGGCAGATGTGGCTAGCAGAGCCTTTGCACAGTTTCACTTTGTGTACCATTGGTGACCTTTCCTGGATCTGGATCCCCTGCACTCAGTCACTCAAATCCAAGTCATCTCTCACCTGAACTACAACAATGGGGGAAGCCCTAAAATCCATTCAAAAGCTTTGGCTGGTACAAAGTGTGGCAGTGTGAGCAATCTGAGGTCCCTAGAATGCTCCATATTGCACCTCTGCTCCACAAAATGCACAGGATGCTAGTCTGCTTCCAAAGGCAGTTTGCGGTGACTTCTGAAGCCCTTACCCATCCAGAGTACCCGATAAACAATCTCATCCAGGCAGGCTGAGATTCCCCCCCATCCTTCCGCAAGGGTCTGAAGACCTTGCATTGCCAATTGGCCTGGGGACCCAATGGGGGAGTACCAAAGTGCAGACCCCACCTCTCCTGCATTTCCTGCTTTCCCCCACCTATCTTTTAATCTCATATTACTCTATTTTCATTGCTTATTTTATTGTTTCATTATTTTGTTTTTATATTTACATTTCATTTCTCTGTTTTTACTGTTGCAAGATTTTTACTGTATTGGTTTGAAATTTAGCAAAATTATAGACTTCGTTATGTAGAATATGAAGGCTTTGTTTGAATACTAGTGCTTTAGGATTGTTGTTATTTTTGCCATTCCTCGGTCCCTTTATATTTCTGTTGTACTTTCAGCTCACAGTTCCCACTTTAAAAAAGATCACACTGGTATCAAATATTCATTGGAATATATCCAGAGGTGGGCTGCTAAGGGTTCACCCTGGTTCAGGAGAACCCATAGCTAATGTTATGGACGGTTCGAACAACCTCCAAATCCCACCCCTGGCTGGCTCCTCCCCGCCCCTCCCAGGAGTCTCCATGTGGCCCATTTTGGATGTGAGGTGAGTGCAGGGGCCGTGCGGAGTCTTGGGAAAAATTAGCCTCCTAGAGGTTCTGGAAATGGGCCCATTTCTGGCCTCCAGAGGGCCTCTGGAGCCCAGGGGAGGCAGTTTTCACCCTCCCAGAGGCTCAAGGATAGCCTCAAGAGCCTGGGGAAGGTGAAAACATCGCCCCCTCCCATGGTGCAGGAGGCCAACTAGGCCACACCCACCATGGCCATGCCCACCCAGCAACCAGAGAACCCATTGCTGAAATTTTTGAAGGCTACCCCTGAATATCTCTGTCTCTTTTTTGGGCCTCAGACTCTGCTATAGCGGATGGATCCTGAGGGCCCATTGTATGTTTAGCCTTGTAGTTGCATAAGACATACCAGGGTATCTGAGCAGCCATCTGGCCCCAATGTCTGGCCCATTGGCTCCAGCAGAAGAGGCCTTCTGGAATTCTAGCTGACAGAAGCAAGGAGAAGAGCCTTTTCTTCTGTGGCCCTGGCCCTGTAGAATATTCTGTCACCCAAAGTGAGAACTTCTCCCACTCTTCCAGGCTTCCAGAAACATATCAAAATCCAAACTAGGCTGGTTGACTCAGGGTCTTGAGGGGAGTGTGCACTGCTGGAAGTGGTTGATGGAGTAAGA